TCCTAGATCAGACCTGGTACATTACGTCTGTTGCAAAAGGCAAGTGAGCCTTCTTTTATATGGCTGAGTTGTATTCCATTGTATGAATGTACCACAACTTTTTTTATCCACCTATCTACTTATAAGCACTTGGTCTGATCCAAATCTTAGCTATTGCAAATAATGCTGCAATGAACACATAGGTGTCTATATTATTTTGAATTTGATCTTCAGGTTTATTTGGATATACTCTCAGAAGTGAAATCACTGGTTATAGGCAATTCCATTTTTATTTATGTCTTTTCTCATCTGAGGCTATGTTTATTGATTTTTGATACAGAGGAAAGCATAAAGAGTGAGATAGGGACACACAGAGAGAAAGAAAAATTGATGTGCTGGAGAAACTGATTGATTGCCTCCCATATGTGCCTCCACCAGGAATCAAACACACAACCTAAGTATGTGCCTTGACTTGGAATTTTACCTATAACCTTTTGGTGTTCAGGCTGATGCTACATCTGAATGAGCCACCCAGCCAGGTCCATTTTGTTTTGTTGTTTGTTTTGTTAACCCTCACCGAAGGATATTTTTCTATTGATTTTTAAGGAGAGTGGAAAGAAGGGGAGAAACACACACACAGAGAAACATCAGTGTGAAATACATTGATTGCCTCTGACACACTGCAACTAGGGCTGGGATGGAGCTTGCAATCGAAGTATGTGCCCTTGACAGGAATCGAACAGGCGGTCCACAGGCAGAGGCTCTATCCACTGAGTCAAACCAGCTAGGGTGCCAGGTCCATTTTTAATTTTTTGAGGTAATTTAATGCTGTATTCCACAGAGGTTTCACCAGTCTACATTTCCAGCAGCAATGTACGAGGGTTCCCTTTTCTCCACATCCTCGCCAGCACTTGTTTTTGTTCATTTATTTATGATAGCTATTCTGACAGGTGTGGATGACAGATCATTGTGGGCTTTTAAAATATGTTTTTAGTGACATTTAGAGAGAGAGGATGGGAAAGGACTAGAGAGACAGAAACATCTAGGAGAGAGAAATATCATGAATCAGCTGTGTACTGCATGCCCCTACTGGGGATGGAGCAGCAAGTCATGCATGTGCTCTGACCAGGAATAAACCAGCAACCTCTTGGTTCCTTTGTCTATGTTCAACCACTGAGAACACCTGCTGGGCTCATTGTGTTTTTCTCCCCATTTATTTTTTTTAATATATATTTTTTATTGTTGATAGTATTACAGATGTGTCCCATTTTCCACTCTTACATCCTTCCTCCCAGCTCCTATCCAGCTCCCCAAGTTTTCACTACCCTATTGCCAATGTCCATGGGCTATGCCTATCCTATATAATAAAAGGATAATATGCAAATTGACCCTAACAGTGGAATGACCAAAAATAACTGGTCGCTATGATGCGCACTGACCACTAGGGGACAGACACTCAACACAGAAGCTGCCCCCTGGTGGTCAGTGCATTTTCACAAGGGGAGCACACCACTCAGCCAGAAGCCGACTCATGGCTGGCCAGCACAGTGGTGGTGGCGGGAGCCTCTCCTACCTCTGCAGCAGTGCTAAGGATGTCTGACTAGTTAGACATCCTAAGCTGTTAGTCAGACATTCCCCGAGGGCTCCTGGGCTGCCAGAGGGTTGTCTGACTGCAAGCTTAGGCCCAATCCCCTGGGGACCAAGCCTAAGCTGGCAGGTGGACATTCCCCAAGGGCTCCCGTACTGCAAGAGGGTGCAGGCCAGGCTGAAGGACTCCCCCACCCCCGAGTGCACAAATTTTCATGCACCGGACCTTCAGTAAGTATATAAGTTAGTTTATCTTTTCTTGTCCGCCTAACCCCACATTGAATTATGTCAGTCGGTTTCATGCCTCCAAGCTTCAGGTCTTATTTTGTTGGTCAATTAATTTTGTTCATTAGCTTCCACAAATAAGTGAGATCATGTGACATTTGTCTTTCTCAGATTGGCTTATTTCACTTAGCATAATATTCTCCATCATTGCGGTTTAATTTGCATTTATCTGATGGTTAGTAATGTTGAGCAACCTTTCATATATCACTTGGCCATCTGTGTGTCCTCCTTGGAGAAGTATCTATTTAGGTCCTTTGCCCATTACTTAATTGTAGAACTGTATACCTGATTATTATAAAATGTTATTATCCATTGTAACCCAATAATTAAAAAGAAATATCACCATGATATTGTCATAAAAACATGTCAATGGTATAGAATTGAGAGCCTGAAAATAAGCACATATGTATATGGGAAAATAATTTTCAACAAAAAAGCCAAAAAATGAAAATTAAAAAAAGAAATTCTCTTCAATAAGTAGCCTTGAGAAAGTTGGAGACTCTCATGCAAAAGAATAAAACTAGACTACCCTTTGTCCCTATGTACAAAAATTAACTTAAGGTGGATTAAAGATGAATGGCATTTAAATGCCCATTGAAATGTTATATGTTGATTCCCTTATTTTTTCAGTCATATTTCTCTTCACTGTCTCCTTAAAAGTTTAATGACTTACTTAAATTTTTTGTTTACATAATTTATTTCTAGTTTGTTTTATCAGAAAAGATTCAATAGCTATATGATAGAAAACAGACTTTAGTGATTGAACATTAGTCTAGAAGGGGATTTTGGAAAAAAAGTGAAAACAATTAAGAATTCTTTTCTCGCCCTAACTGGTTTGGCTCAGTAGATAGAGCATTGGCCTGTGAACTGAAGGGTCCCAGGTTTGATTCCAGTCAGGAGCATGTACCTTGGTTGCGGGCACATCCCCGGTGTGGGGTGTGCAGGAGGCAGCTGATTGATGTTTCTCTCTCATTGATGTTTTTGACTCTCTATCCCTCTCCCTTCCTCTCTGTAAAAAGTCAATAAAATATATTTTTTTAAAAAGAATTCTTTTTTCGTTGTTTAATTGAAAGTTTGTAATTCTCTAAAGGAATAGTAATAAGGCTAATTTGCTAATTGAATGAAATAATCATCTATATTTATATAATGCATTAATTGACATTTAATTTTCATGGGACTGGATCAAAAGTGCAGATGGAATAATTATGAAAGTAAGAATTCAACAGGTAGAAGAATTTCCGTTGATATCAACCACTGTGAAGAATATTACAGTTTAGGAAAGACAATGACGTTCATGCTTGTGTGAAGAGCAACAGGGTAGGGTGTGTAGTTGGATCTGGGTTGATGCTGCATGTGCAGTATTTTGTATTATTTTTGTAATTCTATGCTTTGTAAACCCTGGTCTTTCAAAAAGAGCTAAGAGCTATCCTCTTGCCCAGAAAGAGATACTATATCTACCTATGTGGCTGTTTGTTATACCAACCTTATTGAATATATTCCAGAATAGAGGCTATCAGTTAGAAGATGCTAAATATTCTATCATTTCACTTATATAAAATGTCTAGAATGTTCAAATCTTGTATAGAGAAAACATATTAGTAATTGCCTAGGACTAGGAAAGGAGGGAAATGGAATTGATTGCTAATTGGTATAGTTTCTTTTTAAGGGTGATGAAATGTTTTATCTTTAGAATAGAGGCCCGGTGCATGAAATTCATGCACTCACGGGGGTCCCTCAGCCCGGCCTGTGCCCTCTCGTAGTCCAGGAGCCCTCAGGGGATGTCCGACTGCTGTGGAGGTGGGAGAGGCTCCAGCCACTGCCGCTGCACTCGCTAGCTGTGAGCCTGACTTCTGGCTGAGCAGCGCTTCCCCTGTGGGAGTGCACTGACCACCAGGGGGCAGCTCCTGCGTTGAGTGTCTGTCCCCTGGTGGTCAGTGTGCTTCATAGCTACTGGTTGTTCCCCCATTCAATTTGCCTATTAGCCTTTTATTATATAGGATAGTGGTATTGTTTGTAAAACTCTGTAATTATCCTGAAAAATCACCAAACGTGTACTTTAAAAGGATGTTTTATGGGTGTGAATTATATATCAATAAACAACAAAATCTTAGTTTGTGTTTGAGACCTATGTTTGTAAGAGACTGTGTTTGCAGGTTAAACACAGAGATAAAATAGAATGGGTTACACTCACTAAAGTAGCAGGGCTTTGACCAGCTGAAAAAGCATATGAGCTAAATTAAAGTTGTCATTAGTTATGAAGAAGTATTTTTCAGGTTAAATAGGAAAAATTGGGGAGATAATATTATGATTGGGAAATTTACCACTTACAACAAATGCATATAAATATTCTTCCAAATATTATGCCATTAATAATATAGTACAAACAGATAATATGGACAAACATATTTTTTTTCTGCTTCAGCATCCTCAGCTTAATTTTAGGACAGAATATGGAGTGTTACAGAAATAAGTGAATTTACTTATGTCTCATATGCTTTTAGAATAAACAAAGTTCAGAGTAGACTTTATAAAATTGGGAGTGTTTTCTTGTGGGAAGACAAGCTGAGGGGAGGAGTTTTCTCAAAAAGGTAACTTTCCATCCTTTTAAAAAATTTTTCCTTAATTCATTCAGCACATAATTATTAAGACATTGCAAGATATCAGGTACTGTTTGGGGCAGTTCTGAGAACAAAACAGACATAAATCCATATATGTATGGGGTTTGTATTTTAGGTTTAGTGTAGTATATTGCCAATTGTTAGTAAACGTTTTCTTTTTGAAGGATAACAATTATAAGTTGGAGTACATGTAGGTGCTTAGTGTAAGCTTATGTATATTAGAGCAAACACTTTCAAAGTAAAAGGACATTCTGACTTAATGAAGTCTACTCTGATCATTAAATTTTCTAAAATAACCATTTATAGCAAGATTTCCTAAAGAATAGGTAGAATTAGATATTGTATTTCAATATTCTCTAAACCAGATGTGGAATTATGTCATAATCCGTGGTCTATATTTAGCTGCTTATATTTACATTTTCAATGAATGTTAAATTGTACAGGATCTTGTTTACTGCTATTTGGTTTGGATATTAACTTTCACTGTACTTATTATTTAAGAGAAGGAGGTGGATTGCTGCCACTCCAAGAATGGAGACAGCAGTGGAAGAGCCTCATAAAGAAAAAAGAGATCGAGGTACAGCTTTTCGAGACGAAATCTTTCCTGACTACAAAGACTATATACAATTTCCAATAAGCATTTTATTCGTAACTCTTCTCTATTGTGGTGAAGCTGCCTCTGCTTTTTATCTATTTGATATTTATCGAAAGAATGATGATATATTCTGGATGTCATTCACCATTGGCTTTCTTCTTATGGGAGTAGTTTTGGATCAAGCTATCCTTTTGCTTTTCCAGGAAGACTTGCGCAAACATAAATTTTTGTTTGTTGGGCACATTTTGCTTCTAGGTCCTATGGTGAGGTAAGTGATATTAAATATATTTCATTCATTTACTGTTTCTAAAAGATCCAAAGTAAAATGTAGACTAATATGCATGTGGATGCACTAATTGGTTCTTTAACAAAATTACTTATATTTTTGTTTTGTTTAGTTTTCTTAACTTGAAACTATTAGTATACAGTATTCATCAATTTTAAAACAATGAGAGTTTTGAATAATACAAAATGAAATATAAATTGTTTCTTCTGTTCTTTTAATGAATGTATCACATTCAGTTTTATTATTTACCTCCTTAAGCCAATTATGAATGTTATTTTAAGTAATTATGAAAAATAGAGATATAACATTATGTTGCAGGGTGAGAACAGAATGAGAAAGACAGATACACTTTAAGAAACAATGTCATATATTTTCCTTGTAAATTTATTAGTTGCAGATTATCAAGACACTCTATAAATTGAATCTGAAACTTGGATTATTTATATGCATTTAAACAATTCATTTCCATTGTCACTCCTGCTTTATCATGCCGATTTGCATGAGAACTATGTGTTTTATAGGAATTAGTTTCTCTAGTTCTGCACTTAGGGTTTTAGGTAGAAAAACCCATAGAAAGATAATTTAAGTTATACTGAAATATCCTTCATACCATAATTTTTTCCCCCCGTGGGAACCGTTTTATTCTTTAAACTATGGGCATATATAACTTTGATACAAGAATAGAAACAAAAACTAAAAGTGTGAAAAGAAAGAGTGGGACTGGCTTTTAGAGCTCTGCATATTTGGAATCCCACTTTAGCACTTACCATACTAAAATTAGCTTCCTTGACCTCTCTGAGCCCATATGTTTTCATCTGTAAAATCAGAAAAATTCATACCCTAAATTTAATCCTAGGAACAGCAAATTAAATTATTTGGATTTGTTCCCTTGAGCTAATTTAAGTTTTATTCACTGTATTTCTTGAAGAAAAAGGACTTATTCATATACTACAGAAAAGGAAAAACATGTTAACTACAAAATTTATAAATACAGAAAACCCAGATAATGTTGGCAGCAAAAACCTTTTTAAAAATATAGTTTTCAAACAATATTATATTAGTTTCAGGTGTATAATATAATCTTTATTATATATATATATATATATATCT